CCCCATGTTTAAGACACACAGGCCAAAGCCACAGGACTAGCTGCTTCTAGAAATAAGCACCAGGAAGAAGTATTTCGTCAGTCACTCTTGACACTTAAAAATGGAGCACCGCTTCTGTCTCCTGGAGCTGCTTCACACAGCACTACAAGCCAGGTGGCTGAGGACAGCTGAGATGAACTCTCTCCCAGCTTGGGAGGCTGGAAGTCCAAGTTCAAGGTGCTCACAGTGCTGGTTCCTTCCGGAAGCTCCAAGGGAGAAGCCATGTCATCCTCTGCCCCAGCTCCTGGTGGCTGCTGCCACCTGGGCTTGTGGCCACATCACTCCCATCTCTAACTCTGTCCTCATGGCACCTTCCCCAAGTGTGTCTCCATGTGTCTGTCCTCTTCTTAGAAGGACCCCAGTGACTGCATTCAGGGCCCACCTTACTCCAGCATGACATCGTCTTAATTTGATTACATCCGCAAAGACCTTATTTCCAAATAAGATCGCATCCTGAGGTCCCTGGTGGACATGAATTTTGAAGGGACGCTATTTGACCCATTGCACCATTATGGTCCCAAATCCAGGCCCCAAAACAGCCACCCATCATCACATTTCCTGCTGCGTGTGCCTGGACATCCACCTTGTTAGAGGTAAAAATTCAAAGATCTCAAAAGAAGCCAGTTCACTCCAAAAAGTGGGGTCCCCTTGATCATGCCAACATGAAGAACAAGGAGGGGTGAGTCCCTCAGGAGGATCTCTTCAATGTGGGGCTCCTTCCATCGCAAGGAGCAGAACCCACTCAAACCGGCCCAAGTGAGAGAGATAGTGTGTGTGGGACTCGTGGCACTTTCCTGCAGGACAGTGGGGACCCAAGACCCAGCCTCAGGAAGGGCAGGGCCAGGGGAGGCTCCAGGGCAACCCTGCCCTTGTGGACTCTCTGAGGTGTCCCTTGTGACCGTGAACCCCCAGCGGCCTCTGCAGTCCCAGTCCTGACTGTCCCCTGCAGTGGTCATAGTTCATAGTTGCAGACCCAAAGAGACAGCATGCACAGGGCTGTGAGCCTCCCAGGTGCTGGCCAACCTTGGGTGGGGCTGCCGGATGGAGAGCAGAAGCCCCCCACTCGACCAGCAGCGGGACACTGATCCCACACATGGGTCGCCACAGCCTCCCGCATTTGGACTACGGAAACCAGACTGCGGTCTCTCCACCAGGGTCTGAGGGCCCCTCTCTATAGTTCATCAGGTGCCACACCTGCAGTGAGTCATCTGCCTGCTGGAAATACAGGGGCAGCTGACCGCCGCCCAGGGGCCCAGTCCAGCCCACAGCCCAGTTTTGTTAGAGTCCCTACCGGAGCCCAGCTACCCACAGTCATGGCCGGGTCACCTGTGGCCGCAGCAGAGATGCCGGCCCACAGAGCTGATAAGATCTGCTGACCCCTGACAGAACACAGAGTGCCCAGGTGGGCGAGGGCCAGGACCGTGGATGGCTTTGAACTCTGTGTGCCAGGCAGTTCAAGGACGGGAGGGCAGGTGGGAGCGAGCCGCAATGCCTGCGCCGCCTCCCAGCCCTGCTGCTGGCCGTCAACTGCTGGAGGGCCCCCACAATGGCAAGGCGCCAGTGCCACACTGGGACAAAGCCACTTAGCTGAAAGGGGAGGATTCACTGTCTGACACACTCACAAGCATGTGCATGCACACACGTACGCTTGACCATGTGTGTTTAAGTACAAGCATGTGCACACATGCATGCGTACACATGGACAAACACACGTGTACACACGCGCCTACACGTGCACGTGTGCACGCCTAGACACATACATGTGCACATGCATGTGTGCACACGGGCAAACACACATGCTCCCATGGCTCCTCTCTTGCACTGGGGGCCCTGGGACTGCGCACATATCTGTGGGGATGGCCAGACGACCCCCCCAGACAGGACCACACCACAGGAGAGAGTGTCCTGTGTCACTATCACTACTCTTCACCACAAGCACCAGCAGCTTTTGACCACGGATGACGCAGAAATTCTGGTAGAATCCAGTCTTGGTGTCCTTACCCTGCAGCCCAGGGCAGAAGACCCCGCCCACCCTCCCCCTCCATGCTCCTTACGCTGCCCTGCCCCTGCTGTGTCCCGATACTCCCGATCTCCAGGGAGCCAGAGAACCTTCACTGCCAGGAATAGCAGCTTCGGGGCAAGGGAGAAGTGCGTGGGACGGACACCCTGAGGGTCATGTGCACCCTGAAGCTTTCGCTAGAAGTCTGACAGAGGCATGAAGTGGGGGGTTGTCCCCCCCACGCTCACCCAAGGGGAGCCACCAGAAGGCCTCTTCCCCAGAAGGGGCTCCTGGCCACTCCTGCCACAGTGCGCACGACCTTTACGTCCTCTGTAATGATTCCGAATACGAAGTTAGCTTCCTCAGTCCCAGTTAGATCGTAGAGTATCACGCAGCTATTTTAAAGCTATTCTCTTCACAACTCGAGAGCCTGTTGAAGGGAAGCAGCGAGATTCAAAATGCAGACATCCAGGGAATGTACCCTGACAATGGGCAGGAGACACATCGTGTGCTGAAGGACTCACTTCCTCCATGGGACTGGTGCTTGTTTCCCCTCATTTCGGACACATGCTAAATTCTTCCAAAATGTATATAAATTGCTTTTATAATAAAAAAACAAATTTGTTTATTATTGTACAATAAAAATTAACTTACCTGTTTTAGAACAGTAACAAACTTGCTAGTTCTACACCTCAATCGTGAAGACTATGCAAGGCCTAGGAGAAAGCATCTTGGGCATTACGGAAACAAGACAAAGGTGGTCTGCGTGTCACCGGCGGGGACAGAGGGCAGGTGCCGGGCGGGGACGGGCTAGGCTGGGGGGCTCGAGCCACCATGCTGCGTTCACAGCGGGCCCTACGGGCGCCGGGGACTCTGCCGTCAGCCCAGGGGCCAGCGTGAAGAAGGAAGGCTAATGTGTTTTAAAACCACTCGACCCAAATGCAATTATATAACAGGAAGGGACAAATTACGTAGCTAATGAGTTTTTTTATAAAAAAAATAGAAGACAGAAAAGGAAAAGCGCAGACTCTGTCCTGATGCCGCCCTGGGAGGGAGGGGGAGGTGCAGGGGGCACCTGGGGGGTGGGCTGCCTCCTCCTCGGGTTATAAAAGGGGGTGAGCTGGCTCTGTCTGGGTCACCACCGAGCCGCAGCACCCTCGCCGCCACCCTCATAGGGACCTGTGGTGAGTAGCTCTCGCGCTGTTTCTCTGGGCTCCTTCCCGCTCACTATCCTCCCTGGCAGGCTGGAGGTTGCTCCCTGAGTAAGGGGGTGGTGTGTCTGTGGGCCACCAGATTGCCCAGAGGCCCCCACACTCAAGCATGGTCCGCAGTGGAGACAAAAGGCAAATTGTCCCGTGCAACTCCTCTGGGAATACAGACCGGGAAGCCCAAAGGATCAGCAGCAAAAATCTCTAGCCGGCAGAGAAGCAGGTCCTTGGGGACCGGGAGCTGGGTGCTGCCAACCTCTCTAATGCCAATCACTTGGCGTGGGTCCTGCCCAGAGGAACAAGAAACAGCCCAGCCGGTCTGGTTTGTTCCTCTGCTTCCTGGTGATACCGCTAGTTCCTCCGGACTGGGGACCCCAACACTGCCCAGTGTGTGACACCCCAATGGGCCTCTGAAATGGAGAGAGGTGGTCATTTTAAATAGCTCAGACCATGGGGCTCACTCTCCATGGGGCTCGGATAGGCTGGAAAGTCAAGGTCAGCAGAGGGGGTCCTCCCTCAAGCAAAGGGGGCTCCCAGGCGTCTTCCAAGTGCCAAGGATGTAGGTGCCTGCAGGCAGGGCACCAGGTCAGCCTGACAGATGCCCCTTAGGTAGGTCAACGCCTCCACTCCGGCAGGGTGAACAAGGACTTTCTGAATGCCTCTGGTGCCCACAGCCCTCTGGTGCTGCCATGCCCCATGCGTGGTAGGGGTCCTGCTGCATGAGAGCAGGTCCCACCTGCTGGAGACACAGCAGGTGGCATCTGGGATTATGATGAGGGTGAATGCACTTGGTAAGGACAGAGGACAGACTCCCCTGCATCTCCTGGCTGCTGCCTGCCCTCTGGGGGGTGTCCGGAGGTCCTGGGCTGAGCAAGGGAAAGAAGCCTGCACCAGGGTCCCAGTCCACGAGAGGCAGAGGCACGACACACCTCACCCCTGGCCGTGTCTGAGGTAGGCAAGTTGCCCCCACACCTCTGCAGTGACCCTGAGCTCCTTGGGACCATACCCCCCACAGCCTACTCACCTCTGCCCTTCCCTGCCTGGGTGCACGACATGCACAGCGGTACAGAGACCTCCCATCCTTCCAGTTCCCTAACACAGATGGACAGAAAGACCAAAGCAGGTCCAACACAGCCCATCACTCTGCACCCACTTTTATACACCTCCCGGATCCTTCCCACAACAGAGGGTCGGTGCAAACCTAGGCCTGTCAGAGCCTGACACACACATGATGGCCTCAGGTAACTCTCTCTGGACAGAGGAGACAAGGAGGTCCCAGGGAGGGTGACAGATTTCACAAAGAGTTGGGTTTGTCTGCTAGGTATGTGCCCAGGACCACCCCAGCACAGATCGGAGTGTGCAATGCAGTGTTGCCCCACACACGTGCACTCACATGTGCACACACTCCCATGCACACTGGCTTACATGCACACACAACTCCATGCACACCGGTCCATGTGCACTCACTCGTGCACATACTCCTATGCACACCAGCACAAATGCACTCCTAACACCTCGTGTGTGCACACATGCACTCACATGTGCACACTCACGCACAGTTGGATGCCGTGCACTCACGTGTGTACACACATTTGTGCACACAGACACACACAGTGCTCACATTATCTAGGGCAGCTACCTTGGTGAGCACCCACCTGCACGTGTGCCTAACATCACTCTGGTCTTCCGCCCCAGGTTGCGCCCTTCTGTGTGGGATCCCACCTCCATCGGTGTCTGAGTGAGGAGCAGGGGGGATGAAGGCTTTGCAGACCTGGCTGCTGTGCCTGCTGCTGCTGTGCCTGGCTCTGAAAGGGGCTGCCGGCCAAGCCCACCAGCATTCCATGGAGATCCGCAGTGAGTGCCTAGGACACCCAGATTTAGCCTCCCTCACCTGCCACCACCACTCCCCGGACAAGGGACCGTGGCTGGGGCCTGGCCACCTCCTAACCAGGGGTCCCAGCATCACTAGGTGCCTCAGCTCTGGAAGGGGTGTGGCCTGCTGTTCACCAGGCTTTTCCACAGAGAGGCCCTGTCACCGGCTCTCTGGCACCCCTGTCCTTGCACAGCACACGGTGGAGGGGGTCGCTTCCTGCCCCCGAGGGTGGCCTGGGCCAGAGTTGGCCTTTCCTACCCCTGGCCCAAGTACCTGGGTGGGGGAGTAGGGGGTGCTGGTGAGTTTGAATTCCCATTTCCCAAAGCTTCCCACTGTCCAGCACTGGCCTCGTCACACCCTCTGGATGTCCCTGCTACACAGGTGGTCCCAGCATGGCCTGGGCAGGTGGACAGCCGTGAGCTGGGGACCCTGGGGGAGCACTGCATGTGTGCACTGGACCCTGCCACCCACGGGAGTGCACGGCGTACGCGTGCCGTGGACACAGCACCCACGTGCGGCCCTCACCCTTTCCTTCCCAGCCCCGGACATCGACCCCGCCTGGTACACGGGCCGCAGAATCAGGCCCGTGGGACGCTTCGGCCGGAGGAGAGCGGCCCTGAGGGACGTGGCGAAGCCCAGCCTCTGGCGACAGCCCGCCTGCTTCCCCCTGCAAGGAGGTGCCGAGCCCGCCCAGGATGGGTGACAGCCCAGCCCACAGAGGAATAATTGTGGAGCCATCCCCCCACATTCCCCGCTCCACAGGCTACTTTCCCTCCAGTCCTAATAAAAGCAGCTGGCCTTGCTTAGACGTGTCTTTGTGGTAGCCATGTGGGAGCTGTTTGTCCTCATGGCATGTTTGCTTGAAAGGACACTCAGAGCCCCGCAGCCCAGATGTGCCATGACTTGCCTGAAGGCACCCCACACTGAGTAAGGGAGCTGGGGTCTTCTGGGGTCACCTGCAACCTATTGCATGTGTGCCCTCCACCTGGGCTGCTCTGAGTGACTGCCTAGGCTGTGCACTGCACCACCCCATGCAGGAGGCCCCGGGGAGAGAGCAGCACAGCCCCTCAGCCTGACCTGTCCCTCTCCGAGCCCAGTCCCTTTTACCTCCTTTCTGAGTACTCCAAGGAGAAAGAGAAGCATGAGCTGCTTGTTTCAAACTCAACCAAGATGTCCCTATGTCCTGCCTCCGACCGGGCAGTGGAGGCCAGCCCTTCCCTCTGAGACTCAGTTTCCACATCTAAACACCCTGGGGCAGTAACACCCGTCTCATTCGACAGCTCAGGCAGGCATAGCACATGTTTGCTGGCCAATCCTGTGTACGTTCAATGTAGACCCCTTCCCCATGGCCCTCTCCAACCCAGCATGAGGGAAGGAGAGCAGTGGGGACAGGCTTATCCAGTTATTTCCACACCCAAAGCACATGGGCCTCTGCTTTCACCCTGCTCGCAGTGTCTCAGGAACCCACCCTGACCACAGGACTTCTGTCGGGCCTCACTCAGGAGGCCCCAGGGCAAGCCTGCAGGACCCCAGACCCCAGCTGTCCCTGCTCCCATTCAAGGAAGGGGGCGTCCATGGCTCCCCAGACATGGAGAGGAGGCAGAGCTGCCCCACCTCCCCAGCCACAGGGAGACCCCAGGGAGGGCAGAGGTCAGCTCTCCCGAGGATGAGCCCCTGCTACGTAGGCACCTCCCCAGGGTGCAGTGAGCACAGGGATGGGAGGGGCGAGGACTGCGCCGAAGGCAGGCAGGTGCTGGCCCAGGCCTGGAAGAGCGAGCAGCCAGGAGAACAGTCTGGCACGTCCTCAGACGGTTACACATCGAGTCACCATATGGCCCACAGCGCTTCCAGGTATGTCCCCAGAAGAAGTGAGAACAGGTGTTCAAACAAATGTTTATACAGAAATGTTCACAGCGGCACAATTCACAAGAGGCAGAAAGGTAGAAACACCAAATACCCAGCCAGGGATGAACAGATAAACAAAACGTGGTCCAGCCACCATGGATTATGATTGGGCCATAAAAAGGGACGGAATTGGACTGAATGCTCCAGTTTGGGTCCTTGAAAACGTGATGCTAGGTGGAAAAAGCCAGACACAAAAACCCACATCCTGCAAGATCTGATCTACATGAAAATTTACAGAAAAGAGTCATCGCCAGTTGTCAGGGTGACTGCTTAATGGGATGAAAATGCCTTGGAACCGGACTCAGGTGGTGGCTGCAGAACAGTTTCAATGGGCTAATACCACTGAATTGCACACTTTCTCAGAGAAGAGTTCACAGTTCAGGGTGAAGCTCAGACAGGACAACACAAGGGCATGAGGCTGGGCAGCTCCAGACTCCGGCACCTCTTCTGTGTCCCAGAGGGAGGAAGGGGCGGGAGGTTGTATGTTTCCTACAACTTATCATGAAAATTTTCAAACATACAAGGAAGTTCAAAATGTAGCCTAACGAGCATCCACACACCCTCCACTTAGTTTCAACCACCATTACCGCATTTCTGTCTCTCTCTCTCTCTCTCTCTCCCCCTTCCCATTTGGAAGTAAGTTGTAGACATCGTGACATTTCCCCTAGATGTTTCCATATATTCCTCCTCAAAATAAGGTCTCCTGCATAACCATAAAATTATTGTCCCTGATTCATTTTTTAATAATTCTGTAATATCATCTAATTTCTAGTCCATATTCAAAAAATCCCCAGGGCCAGAAAGTCTTGGCTGTCTTGTTTTCTTTCTTTCTTTCTTTCTTTCTTTCTTTCTTTCTTTCTTTCTTTCTTTCTTTTTTTTTTTTTTTTTTTTTTTTTTTTTTTCTTTTTTTTTTTGAAACCAGGTTGCAACCTAAATCCACTGTTGCTGTTAGGCATTGCTCCTTAGTTTGTCATGACATGGACATTTACAAGAGCCCAGATGCGTTATCCTGTGAAATGATGTGTGAAATGAAGGTGATGTGTGGATTGTTCCCCAGAGGGTGGTTACCTTGTTCATGTTCCGTCCCCGCATTTCCTGTGGTCTGAGAGGGAAAGTCTGATGGGTTACTCACTGGGGACACCAGGGCTCTGTGTCCCTTCTGTCCCGCATCATCTGATGGACAGTCCAGGCCCCACTCGGACTGATGCTGGGGCCGACCCTCCCATGGAGGAGGATCTCAGCTATAAGGGGTCTTCCTGTCCCTCACTGTGTGCTTGAGGCAGCAGCTGGTTTATCTAGAGCCCCCAGCCAAGGATCTAAGCACCCACTGAACATCCCCGCTGGGAGCCCATGTCCTCACCAGCGCATTGCACCAGGAAGATTCTCCAATTCCTTCCACATTTATTACCATATTCTTCTAAAGGAGGTATCTCTCTCTCTCTCTCTGTTCAACACTTACAAATAATTTTTGGGTGCTCAGATTGTCCTCAGTTTGGCCAGTGGGAGCTCCAGGAAGAGGATAAAAGGAGCCCGACGGGGGCCCTGAACTCACAACTCTGAGATCAAGACCTGAGCTGAGATCAAGAGTCGGACGCGGGTGGCTCAACGGACTGAGCCCCCGGGCACCCTGGGAATACATTTTGGAAGAAGAAGAATGGATCCGAGTCAGGTCCTCTGGGCTATTAAAAAAAAAAAAATGCAAACATTTGAAGATCTAATTGGCTTTATTAAGCTATTCATGAATGGGGCCACATCCAGTCTAGCCAGTAGTGAGAGGTTCTGTCAAGGTGCAGAGAAGGAAAGGTGTTGAAAGACAGAGAGAAAGCTCCTTTTGTCTTAGAGTTTATTAGCCTTGTTGAGGTGAGGTTGCCCTGGTAGGGGAAAAAGGGTTTCTCAGAGGATTGCCTCCAGGAAATTCCAGTGCGGCAGGCTGAAGGTCACATTCCAGAGATAGCAGAAACTGCGGTCGGGTTGAGGATGAAATCTGGCTTTACTGATGCCTTAATTTCAGCGGCTCCTTGGGCCTGGGGTTTTCTTTCTGACCATGTGAAGGGGACCCTTCCAATGGGGTTGGAGGCGACACCTCCCACAGAAGCAGAAGACAGAAAAGGGGTAAAGTTGCAGGCCGGTCAGCAGGGTTCCTCCGAGGGGCCCCATCTCAACCCCCGGAGCCTCCTGCCCCCACCACCTACAAGGGGGCACACACCTCCCCCAGCTCCAGAGAGGACCCAGGTACAGACCCAGGCTGAGCGGGGCAGGAGCAGCTTTCCCGTGGCAGGCAGGACAGGGGCCTCCCAGGCTGACCCCCATGGGGACTCGAGGCCAATGCAGACCTCTTCTCCCAGGAGTCTTCATGGGGAATGCATCTCTCTTCGTGCTCCACGCCCACTGCCCACCCTACCCCCCATCACAGGTTCCAGGATGGAGCTGACATGAGGTGGGCAAAGCGTGGCACAGAGACCCTTCCAGAATCCCCTGTCTGTTGTGATGGAGGCTGGTTTTGGAGGGCCTGCCTTTTCTTTAGGTCTCTGGGGGAAGGAATAGTTTCTATCCTCTTGCTGGACACACGTTGGTTGAGCCCCTGGCATGTGTCTGATGTTGCCAGGCACCAAGCACCCTGCAGAAGGAAAAACAGAGCCCTTGGCCTCGGGGCATTGCCCATCTTGCCAGAATATTAGGTTCACCGGGGAGGTGAAATGCCCTGGGTGCAAGCTCCCTGGAGACCCATGGAACCAGGGCAGGTGGTGAAGGGCCAGGGGTGCTGCTGAAGGAGGCTCCCAGGTGATTCTAATGCAGGGTTGAGCCACCTGCCTGGTGAGGCGGAGGAGAGGGTGAGGAGCCATCACATCCAGAGCTATGGGGAACCTGAGCTCCAGAAGCACAAGGCACCCCATCCAGTGTAGGGGCACGGAGAGGGATGCCTGGTGGAAATCCGTCCAAGGATATGTTCTAGCAATAAATTCTAGCGCAGTGATACAAACTTGACAAAACTGGAGGGAAAGAGGCATAGATATGTGGGCATCCTACACACATCATCCTTATTTCCCCCACTTCCTGTTGCCTCAATCAACTCACAGGAAATTTCTCTGAAAGCCTGGCATTTAGCAGAGCAAAGGCGGGGACCCTGGGCCCTTGAGCCCCAGGGTTTGTCCTGAGTGATGCTGGAGTGCCACCTAGTGGCCAGGGGTGACCTCAGCCTCCTGCCGCCTCCAAGGTGGGACCCACCAGGTGGGCACTGGGGATCCAGGGCCTGCTGCAGCCAGGAGGTGAGGGGAGCACTAGACACAGCCTGGCACCCCGGGGACTCACCCCCACGTACTGCATCTACATGAGAATAATATGAAACAGAGTGCGGCTTGACTACTGTCAGAAACTGTCACCAGTGAAATTGTTTAAGGAACAAAATAGAGTGAGTGGAAATCTGGGTAACAGGCCCTCTCAGACGCTTTTATTTCTGTATTTATCCTTTAGCTTTTCTCAAGCATGACAAGAGATGCCTTGGGAAACTTGCATTTGTCTGGGAAGACATACCATGATCTTGAGGTTGGAATGCAGGGGGTCCCAGGCCTGCAGGATGGGGGAGGGACCAGGGGCCAGAACGTAGAAGGGAGCCTTTTTGGGACCCCTGACCTTTGGCAGGATACAGCCACACTGAGACGACCCCAACTGGACGGGTCCTAGCCAATGCTGGGGTGTGTCCTGATCAGTTCAGGGCTCCCTGCCCGCTGGGCCCCAAGCAAAGGTCCAGGCCCTCGGCTGGGATGATAGGCCTGTGGCAGGGTGGACGCGAGCAGAGAACCAGTGCAGAGGAGCCCCTAGAAACGCTGGCTCGCCCCTCATGGATGCCAAGAGTTCAGAGTAAGCGTGAAAGGATGCTTTACCCTGTCCTGCTGTTGATCCTCCCCGCGATACAGCGAAAGCAGCCTTTTCAGGTGGACCGCGGTGTTTTAGTGTTTACAATTTCAGACTTGCTTATCCCAGTCCCCGGGGCAAGGATGAAAACCAACAGCGCCTCTCCACCTCACAAAACAGCTCACCTTCTGAAATACCCCCAACTTGATATCAGGGCTAACCTCCCCAAAAGACCATCTGGTCCTCCCCCTGGAGGCAGGCAGTAATGGGGTGAACGCACGATGTGTCAGCCCTGGAGAAGTGACCTGCGGCCCTGAGCCACAGTCTGGGCCTGGGCCCACCTCCTCATTCACTTGGGACAAGCCCTCCTAGAACACGCACCATCACAAACCCCAGCCTTGCAAACTCGGCGACACCAGCTCAGAGAAAGCGGCTGGATGTCTGCAGACATATGGGCAGCTCCGCTCACACCACGGGCTAGAAATCTGTGTCCTCAGGCTCCCTGGGCACAAGCATCACTGGCTGAACTCAGAGCCAGGAGAAGAGAGGGTGGAGGGGCTGGTCCCCCACCCCCAACCCCGCCCCAGCTGTCCCGTTAGATGCCATCCCTCCTGGGGCCACCGCCCCGAGATGTAGGAAGTGGACGCAGCCCTGTGATCTTCCCGGCACTGTCACCCCCATGCGGGCCTATCCCCTCCTCCCCCAACTCCCAGAACCAGGCGGGCCCAGCCCCAGATGGACAGTGAGACTGCGGAGGGGACAGCCATCTGGGCCAGGGAGGGCGCACCTGGCCCGGGCATTGGGTATCAATGTCAGGGGGTGGGGGGAAGGCCGACACCACTTCCCATCAATGAAAATTGAACAAACCTTTTCTGAAACATTAAAGAGAAAAGGAAAAGCGTTTTCTTGGAACCCAAGTGGAGACCGCTACCTAGGACACACAACCTTCACAAAGGAGAGCATGCTCCCAGGAAGAAACATTTGGCACAGGCTCATATATGTCTTCTGCATAAAGAGTTACAAATCATCGCGACAAAGGACATTCCAGAAAGTTACAGATTTTTATCTTGGTTTTAGTGTGTGCCAGGTTATAGGACTTTAATCTTCCAGGACCAGGGAGGTGTTTCCTTTCCCTTATCTTTATGTTTAGAATGTTCCTTGTGGGTTTTTTTCCCATGAGGGCGATGCACAGTGCGTGCTCGGGGCAGAAATGCAGCCCAAGCTTTGGAAAGGTTTTGCCGAGTCACTTTGACCTTGGTAAGTATTAAAGCACAGCTTCCCTGGGAGCCCAGGAGCAGGGCCCACAAATGCTAAAAGGTGAACGTTCTCTGTATCGGCCCTAGAAGCCCTCTAGCCCCGGATCTTCTCCTGAATGATTCCCACCGGCTCTGGGAAGTGGGAACACTGGCAGATGCCAGCTTCCAGAACCTCTGGGACTCAGGGAACAAGCCTGTTTGATGGTGACTCAGATCCTTGGTGGAGGCAGTGGCTCCCCCTGCTGAGCCTCCTGGCCTGGGGGGCATCCTCCCCAGGCCCCCCACCCTAACGTGGCTGCTGCTAGTGGGGGCAGCATCTGGCCTGCCCGGCAGATGCCCCATTCAGAGCCAGCCCTGCATCTCCACGCTGCTGCCGTCCCTCCTTCTTCTCTTCTCTCTGCAGGAGCTCCCAGGCTGCGAAGGGCAGAGGAGAGTGGTCTGGGAGAAAGCCCACCAGGCTGTCCCAGGTCCCACCCTCCCTGACATTAACGCAGAGCCACCAAGTTCGGGCCCCTGGAGACACTCTGCTGGGTCCCGGGATACCAGAAAGGAGAGCCAAGAAGCAAAGCCAGAGCTGAGCCCCAACCCCACCCCGGCTCTCCTGGGGGTTCCACCACTCACCTACAGCGTTGAAGACCTCAGTCACCTGGTGGTTTAGTTTGGCTGAGGCCTCCATGAACAGCAGCCTCTTGCTCTCCGCAAACTCTTTCCCTTCCTGCCGGAAAAAGAAACAAAATTCCCACACTGGTTACAAAACACACTTTCCTAGGAATACTGGGCTGCCTTCAAAGACCCAAGAACCAGTGAGGGTTCCTCCGTTCTGGGTCGTGGTGCTCCTGGAGGGGCCCAGGGCTGGGGAGGTGGGAGGAGGGTGGTGGGAAGGCAGGGAGGTACTCGCCCCTCCATGAGGGCCCCACACCCCAGCAGAGCCCCAGCACCAGCTTCCCCTGGTGGCTCCCTGCCCTCACGTCTCCCCTCTGGTACCTGGGGGCTCTGACATGGGGGAAAAACCAAGCGAGAAGGCAGGAAATATGGAATGGAAGCAGGCAGAGCTCCTGGGGGGGAGCGCATCTAAGCCCTGATTCTGGGGGTCCCTCCTGGCTTTCCCCCCAGCACTGCAGGGAATGATACATAAGTGTGCTAGTGTGAAACTGTTGAGATCCGAGAAAGATGAATACTTCGTACTATTGTAGGAATGTCCACTTTCTGATTGGATTCAATGTTTATGCGAAACCTTAGCATTCGGGAAGACTGGGAGTGGGGGCTTGGGGGGGTCGGGACAGACAGGACCTTTTTGTAGTACTTTTGCAATGCTTTCTGTAATTCTGAAATTATTTGATAATGAGAGCCAAAGAATTCATCTGGAATCTGTGCTCCCCTTGTCCCTGCCTTGGCCAAAGCACCCGACGTCGTCCCCCTGGCTGGACGCCCGTGTCCCTGGCACCTGGACCTCCAGGTGTAGACTCAAGGTCCAGCTGTGCTTAGTGGGAGCTCAGAATAAAGAAAAGGTCAGGGGGTGGCCCAGGGCCCCGGGTGGTCGGTGGGGTCTACAGCCCTGGCCTCAGGGTGTCCGTTAGTGTGAGCTCTAAGCCAGGAGGCCTCCCTGCACAGGCGGAACGGGCTCAGCCCAGGGCAGGGGTGCCGCCGCCTGAGGCCCCTCGCTCCCCCAGAGCTCGGCTGCCTGCCTCCCAGCAATCTCCCCACCCAGGGCCTGGTCTCCCCAACTAATTCGGCCTGGCCTTGCCCCCAAATACTCTTTCCTCAAATCACCCATCACGCCCTGGCCCCTAGCTTCTCAAAATCCTCTGAGGACTCCTTGTTGCCCCCCAAATACTGCCCCCCCTTAACGCCACACACTGGGATCTCTGCTTCTGAGCCCACATGCCTTCTCATCACGGCCTTCCCCTCCTGGCGGCATCAGCCAACCCACTACAGCGAGCACCCTGCCTTTCCCTCTGCCAGCCATACTCCACTCGTCCCGCCTGCCTGTCCGCTCCTAGACCCTTCCCTCACACACACACCTACACACCTTCCTACGCACACATATGCTTGGCCTGCACACACACCCTGCAGGCACGGACCCAAGCACACACCCCTCGCTCACCGCCTGCTGTCTCACAGCGCTCTACGGGCATCCCCAAGGCTTCTATCCCACCTTGGGTCACTTTACAAAGCTCTGGCTTTCTTCTGGTCTATCCCTCCCTCAGTTGCTAGCAAGGAAATTTGGACTTAATTTATTGAGCACAAAGGAAAAGATCTGAAAACCCACCTAAGGGAACACAGGAGAGCAGGGCAGGAAGGGCGTGGGTTCCTCACAACCCTGGCTGAGCCAGGGGGTCCCTGCAGGCTGGCGGCACGGCACGTCCCCGCTTCTGGGACACAGGACCCAGGGCCGACCTGCCACCAGCTCGCCGCGGAGCTGGCCTCCCCACGCCTGGGGAAGCGCCATCTCTAGACCTGATGTCTCCAGGAGAGCCCCAAAATCTTTGTCCCTAAGGGAAAGTCAAGCGGGAAGCATATGTGTTTGTGCATGTGTGATCAAGCGTGTGTGACATGTGTGCGTGTGGTGTGCGTGTGAGTGGGCGGGCGACGGAGTGAAGGCTGCAGGTATGTTTTGGGGTCACTCTCTTGGCCCCTCAGGGAACAAAACGACACTGTCAGGGCTACCTGGAACGTCACCTCCCGCTGCTCGCCGAGGTCCGTCTTGTTCCCAACCAGCATCACCACCACCTCCCCTGGGGGGGACTCCCTCTCTAGGTCCTTCAGCCACTGCTGAGCCTTGCTGAAGGAATCCTGACAAAGGGGAAAACGCATCAGAACAAACCCCGTGGATGGTTTCACCGGCTATCCTGGAAAGCGCAGGCAGAGGCGAGCGGCGTCCTGTTAAAAGGCATACGATCCCATTGGCCATATGACAGCCGCCCCCCTCCCCCCGCACATAGCCCCTCCCCCCACCTCTGAGCTGCTCAGGTGGGCAGCCTCCCACGCTGCAGCCCGTGGCATCGTGCTTGCCCCCAGCCCACCCCACCCACAGATTCTGCACTCTTCCTGCTCACCTGCCCTCAGCCACCTCCCTGCCCTGCCCCACCCCAACCCCAACATGCTAATCCCCACTTTCCTCCCTTTCTGCAGGAAGCACCCCCTACCCCAGGCTGAGTCAGGTGCCCCCCCGCCCCATCAGCTCCCACAGATCCCTGGCTTCCCTCCTCCAGCTCTAAGTACCTGCTGACTCGTACTCAGCATCTACCCAGACAACACCCTGCGGATGTACAGCCAGGGGCCGTCAGCTCTTTGCGCGACACACCCATCACCAGTGCCGCGGGCCCCCAAGGCATCAGGAGTGAAGATGGGGGTGCTCTATGCAGGGTGTTCTGAGAGGACCATGGAGGGGCACAAATTCAACCATGCAGTAGCAGGAGCAGGGGTTATCGGCGAGGGCTTCCTGGAGGAAGTGACAGACTTTCACAGAAGTGCTGCCCACTGGCTGTGGTGGTTTTACCATAAAGCACCAGCATGGGCTGGTCACAGGAAGCCTTCAGAAGAGAGTATCCCTGCGCCTGGGGAACAGAAGGCAGATGTCTTGCAAAGGAAGGTGGGAACGTGTCCGAGGCGAGCCTCACCTTCCTGGTGATGTCATACACCAGAAGCGCAGCGTTGGCGCCCCGAAAGTACAGGTGGCAGATGCTGTGGTACTTCTCCTGGCCAGCTGTGTCCCAGATCTCAAACTTCAGAGACTTGGAGCCCAAGTCCACCACCTTGGAGAAGAATGCACCTGAAACAGAAGCCCGGGGTGGGGGGCTTTAGCAGACATGGTCTTTAGAGCCCGGGCTGTGCCACTGAGGCAGGATGCAGACAGAGCTGTGGGGGGACAATGTATCCTGCTAGGAACAGAAGCTAAGGGATGAGTCTGGGCTGAGATCATGATTCTTTGGCATAAGACTCCAGCTCCGGGGGGCTCCTAACAGAACCCACCCACCCCGGTGTCCGCCTGTTCATCCTGCCCTTCGCTGCACAGCCACAAATCTGAAGTCAGATAAAACCTCCTAGAGGCCATGTCCTATCCTATCCCCCAAAGTGATGGTCTTAGGAGGTGAGGCCTCTGGGGCGTAATCAGAGTTAGATGAGGTCAGGAGGATGGGGCCCCCACTGTGGGATCAGTGCCTTTATAGGAAGAGACACAGAACCCATGATCTCTCTCTCCCCCTTCCTCCCTCCCTCTCTCTCTCTCCCACCCTTCTAAATCTCAGTGCCCTCTTCTTCACCACGAGCCAACAGTGCCCCCTTCCCACAGTGGGTGTCAAACCACAAGAAAAGAGAGGAGAGCAGGGTCTGTGCCTGGAGCTCCCCTTCCTTTGCCTGCCCTGGGCTCTCCCTGATTCACAGGGTGGGATGGTGGCCTTGTGTCCACATCCTTCTATCATGTCCAATCACATTCCTGAACTTGATTTTGGTTGTTCTCTAAAACCCGCCACTGGCAGGTTCCCCACAGGAAACACCTTCGGGTCAGCCCCCCCAATTCAGCAACCCTAGCTCCCCATCTGCTCCTTCTCTGCTTTATAAATGATGGCTGCTGGTCGAGCTCCAATCCACATGCACCCCAACAAACTTGCAGGGAGGGCTTTCAGTCCCAGTGATGATGAGGCACGAGTGATGGGGTGTTTACAGAGAGGAGAACCTTAACTCCCCCAGAGAGAGACATGAGGTTCCTCCAGGGCCCCTGGACTCCTCTCCAGGGCAAACTTCCTCCCCAGACCCATGGAGCCCTTGGCTCCAATCAGAGAAAGAGCCCACATTAATTATCTCTCTTGTTCAGAAACCCACTGACCACATTTTCTACATCGTCACAGCTAAAGCCAGGAAGAATAATTGATATTGGCCTCAAGGTAGGGGGTGGGGTGGGCTTGGGCCAAGAACCAAGAATTTTTCCGTTTCTAGAATACGTAGCTGGAGGAGACCCATGGGCACATTTTCACGGGGCCTCGGGTAGACTGAGCTGGGCCGCCTGGTGCACTTACACATCGTGGTCCCGTCACAGCACAGACCAGGTCTCCTGCCTCCTCTGGTCCCACCACAGACTTCAGCACTGGCAACCCAGCAACAGCCCCGCCCTGGTCTCTCCTCCATCCTCTGGGGGCATGGGGGGGAGGGGGGAGGCTCCTGCAGGCAGGTGAGCTGTGCAGCGCCCCCATCTGCACAGCGAAGGGCGTAAGAATGACAGACTGCCCTTCCCCCACCTTACTGTATTGCCCCAGATTATAAAGTATCTCCGTAAACGTCGACCTAAGGAACGAGGTGGTGCTCTGTCTGGTTTTAATGTCAACAAATAGCTGATTCTGCTCATCGAAGCCTCTCGGCCACATGTGCCTTCCTTGGACAGAGTATCAGCGGGGTCGGGGTTGAAGGGAACCTGAAATTTTCTTTTTTTGCATTTCAATAGAACTAGCTTTATTATTATATTATTATTATTTTAAACAAAAGAAATGGTCTAAAAGTAAATACAGATATGTACCAAGGGATGGACATGACCTGGTACTTACAGAGGAGCTGCTGTGTCATAAATGAAAACAGAATGTTAGGAGAAAAATGGTATTTCAGGTGCTGTCTGCTTGAATAATCTGGAGACGCATGTTAACTGAAACAAGGTGCTGTGACAAGCAATCAGCAGGAACAAGGGCCAGGATGGTGACAAGGCTGAATGAGGGCTGTCTTTCCCTCCCACACAGGAAACGGCGACCCACCAGTAAATACGCACACCAGCACTAGATGTCACCATTGCTCCAAAAGATGTCACTAAGACAGCAGGGCTAGCACCAGGAAGCAGGGAGAATTCCGGGGCTGTGACCCGTTGGGACTCCAGGATGAGGGCTCTGTGGGGAGCCCAGTGGGGTCTTCGGGAGCTCCCCGTGGTTCAAGCCCCCAGCACCCCCCCATAGTATTCCCCCTTGAAGCTGCCCCGCCTCCCCTGCTAGGCGCTCTCCCGCAGTGGGACGCGGGGGGGGGGGGGGCTGGGGAGCTTTTCGGGTCTCCCCTGAGTAGGCTGACCCCCAAGGGCCTGTGCTCCCTTGAAATTCCCACGCTCGTTCTGCTTTGGGGACATGAGCGTTCCAGCTGTCTCAGGGCAAGACCCGGAAGACCCTGTCCAGCCAGGGGACAGACAGACAATGGAAGCATCTGCCTTTGGAGGGCTTTTGTACAACGCAGACTACACAGACGTAACTGAAAGGAGGGATAGTATTCCATCACCTCGTTTGAAGTGGGAAGACCGACCTTTATGATAACATACAATGATGTACTAATTATAATGGCATGATAACTAATAAATCCTGTAGAATATAATATACAGATAAACATCATAGTATAATAACAAATAAAATCATTAACTGCCCTTCTTTATTTATTTTTATAACAATGTAGCCACTGTGACAGCAACCTCCACAGGTTGTGGTGTCATAAAGCATGTGAAGTCAGCTCTGAGATTTAAGGGTCAGGAAGTTCTAGCCCCGTGGTCGGCAGCTGCTTGAATAAACAATTGCCAGATGCAGCTAGAGGCTCGCGGCTCCATGGGCGCCTGTCTGGTGGTTTCTGGTGTCTGGTGGTGCACACACGTACACACTCCAGGGACAGTGGGAAGGAAACAAAGACCCGAAGCACCAGCCCCAAGGCAGAGGCAGGGTCCCGAGCCTGAAAGCAGGGAGGACAGCCAAAGCTGCCCATGAGGATGAGGCTGGTCCAGGGCCCAGGCAGAGGACCACGAGGGGAGAGAGCACCCCTAGGCCTGCCCCCCAAGCAAAGACCCCCACTCTGACTTGAGCCCAGGCTCTGCCCACCCGACTGAGCCCAACAGAACCTCTGAAGGGTGAGAGGGAGGATGCCAGCATGTTCCCAGACCTGGAAGGAACCTATGCAAGTTTCTTTGAGTAGGGACAGGTCCTCGCCCACCGTTCCTGTACCTGCTATAGGCTGGGAAGCACTGTCTGCCAGGCTTGGGAAAGTTAGTAAACTTCCCATTAATTCAGAGTGACTGCACTGTCCTTGGCGTAGCTGGCTCTGTGCTTAGGAGTCCCCTCCTGCCCCCCAGGGAGGGTCCTCACTGCAGCCTACCCACTTGGATCCAGCAGGTGCTGGTCCCATGGAGCCAAGTCTCTGGCTCACAGTGAGTGTCCACACCACCAACGCTGCCTCTCCTCTCCCACAGGAACACGGTGGCAGCCCACTGCCTCCTAGGGGACTGGCCCCCTCTCCCATACTGGTAGAGCAGAGGCCCAAACTGTTTTGGCAAAGGGCCTTCAGTAAATACTTTGGGCTTCAAGGTGCTACCATCATAGTTATCCCCGCAGGATACACAAATGATGGGCACGACTGGATTCTGGCTGGGCCAGTCCCCCTTCTCCCGTCTCTGCTCTCCACAGAAGCCCCCCACCCCCCAGGCCAGATTTAGCACTTTGTTGTGTTCTTTTAAGTCCGGTCCAGTATCGTGGCTGACTGGTGTCGCTTTTCCTGCAGATGGAGAAGGTCGCCCTGGGCCCCCTCAGCCAGCCTGAACCACCATCTTTATGAGCTCTTCCGGAGATTCCCCCCCTCCTGGAGCCAGCCCCTCACCCCTTCTCTGCCCGGCTCACCATGAGTGCTGGGGGCCTGGACCTGGCAGGTCTCTCGGCCCCCATGTCCCTCTGGCACTCTTGGCAGTCACTGTCCTGAGAAGCCTGCAGGGCTTCCAAGTAGCTAATGCACACATCAAAGTTAGCATTGTGTGTCCCTGTCCAGTGCCCCTGTTTGGCGTCTTCTAGAGCCCTCCACACCTAGTGCAGGCCTGGGACAGAGGCCATGCCCAGCAGGTGCTCGCTACATGAGTGAGGGAGGGAGTAAATGAATGAATGAATGAGTGAGTGAGTGGACTTGACTAAGTGCCAAGCAAAAGGCTTGTCCATGGCAGAGTCCAAGTCTGAGGCCAAAGCTCTGGTTCTGAGTGGGGGATCTCTCTTTGGCCATGCTAGCCACCTCCCAGGAGGGCTGGCATGAAGTACGCATTGAGTTTCTATTTTAGGTGGAAAACAGGATTTCCAGCCCCAGAACAGCGTGTGACAGAAGTCAACAACCCAGCAGATGCTCCAAAGGCCCTTTTCCCCAAGAGCTATGACCTGTTACCTCTTTAAGAAGTAGGGAGTGGGTCTTCCCTCCATGCCACCCCATCCTCCAATCCAGGCCAGGTGGTAAACTAAGACCAGGCAGAAAGGGAGCTGCTCTTCAGGACACTACCCAGGGGAGCAGCATTGGCAGGAGGGACCCTAGGCAGGGTACGAGGTCGGCCTATCTGGGCGGCTGAGTGGCCGAGCCTAGGGGGCCTTCCCTTGGGCTCCCCGTCCACCAGGAACAACCCCTCACACCATGCCCTAGGGGCCCAAGGCCCTGACCCTGAACCCCTGCCCCCTGCAGCCTCCCACTAAGCTGACACCAGACTGCTCTCTGGACAGCACATGTGTCTGACCAAGGGGGGGCCTCATCGCCTCCCTGCTGTGCTGGGTGCCACCCGAGGCCCCGGGAGAGTGTGGGAATGCCCCACCCCTGGGACACCGCCCTGCCTTCCCCTCTAGCAGACTGACCAAGGGCATGCTGTCCCATGTCACTTACATCCCACGGTGGGCAGGATGCTCTTGAAGTCATTCTTCACGTACCGGAGAGCCAAGCTGGACTTGCCCACAGAGCCACTTCCCAGGAGGACCAGTTTGAACACGCAGGGCTGGTCCAGGCCATCCCCAGGAGAGGGGACCCGTCCCGCCTGTGCCATGTCCTGCCAAGAGACAGCAGATGCAGGAGGTTGCATGTCTGCCGCCAAATCATCTTAGTGAGCTCGCCCCTGCGGTGCCGCTTCCCTGGGGGAAGGCAGACAGCCTTGAGCAGCAGGGAGCTCAGGGTCTGAGGCAGCAGCCTAGGTTGGTGACCCTGTGCCACTCAGCACCCTGTTCCCTCACCACAGAGCGGGGCGAGCAGACCCTGCGTGACAGGTTTATTGCTAGCAATGCTCAGGAAGTGTCTGAAGGTGTCCAGCAGGACCCACTGCATTCAAGCACTACATGCCCTGGAAAATAGTCCTTGTGTGCTGGCCATCACGCTGCCTTGTCGTCCTCGTTCCCATTACTTCTCACTTTTAAAAAAATCGATTACTTATTCCAAAAAGTACTGAAATCGCCCGAGAGGCAATGGGCTCTCTCCATTGAGGCTCATGGGTTGGAGCTGGTGCTTTGAAAGGATCTAGGGTCTACCTAAAGAAAAGGTCAGTGTTTCAAGGACCTCAAAACATTTTGGTCTTTCCTGCTGTATCTAAAGCCTCAGCACCTGTGAGGGATACGCCGTAGAGAAAACCAGCTCTGTGATCAAAATAAATTTGACTAAACCCTGCATATCTGTTCATTACAGAAAATTTCAGGCACCCTCCACCGTGGAACGGAGACCGTCCTAGTGGGCCTCACTTACTCTCCTCCACTTCCAAAACCTTGGTTCCCGCCCATCCCCAGACCCCCTCCCACCAAGACCGGTGTGAAGCAAACCTCAGGCACCCTGTTGTTCCATCTGCAAATCTCAGTATATATACACGTATTCTTTTGTTTCTTTGTAATTAATTTGTTCAAGAAATCAGCTTCGCAGTCTTCCTCTGGCTGATTGGATCCCCTGTTCTTGTCCTGTGAACCCCGTATTTGTTCTAGCCTGGCGGATCGAACAGCAATCTGATCAGAACCAGGCCATTGTTTGGCAAGAATGCTTCATGAACGTGCTTTGCATTTCTTCAGAAGGCCAATAATGGCCACGCACTCTGGGGGTGATGCTCGGGGTCCCTGAAGACCATTGCCAGATCCACTATTTCACTAGGACCAGTGATGTTCTAATGTCCCCACCTTGTCTCCCTTTATGATCTGGGCCGCTTCTAGGAAGAAAAACTTCCCCTAAAAAACATGGAAACCCACAAGGGGGTGGGCAGTCCTGGGAACAGCCTCCCCCTCCTCCTCACTCCATGGGCAGGAGGGAGGCCCCCAAGGGTGATGGGAATGGAGGAAGGGAAAGAACTTCCAAGAGGAATGGAGACAAAAGCAACAGCAGCAAGAAGCACACCATGTCCCCCACCCCCACCCCGCAGCTGTCCCTGTCTGGTCTGCCTGCAGGGACAGGAGGGGTAGGGGCGAGCTTGGGAGTGGGGAAGGGGTGGGGACGGGAACAAGCAGCCCTGAGTCCTAACTACTAATAAGACTGTCCCCAGCACAAGTGACTGAGGAGTGACAGGGTCTGAGAGAAGGATTCAGAGCCATTTCTGCCCCTTGAGGACAGGGTGCTTGACACAGTGGAGGGGAGTTTTGGGAAGGCGTGTGGAAGCCCATCTTATGTGGGATTCACAGGTCTCACCATTAAGTATGATGCTTATAGTGTCGATGTGTGATGTTTCAGAGAAGGATTGGAAAGATAAAGTATTTTAAGTTTTCTATCTCTGTTTTTTTGAAGCGGATCCTGGGGTCACCTGGGGAGCTGCCAGCTTCGAGGAAATCTGCTAGATCTGCTCAGATCTCTGTCCCACAGATGCAAACCTCTGTCCCACCACAGCGGCCACCCCGATCACATCCAGTCCCCAGCAGCAGCAGTTGATAAAACAGTCTCTGCCATCACATGCCCCGAAGTCAGTCCCTGTCCCTCTTCCTGATTGAAATAACTCTGGTTTTGAACTCTGTCTTAGCTCATAAAATTATTTTTTAATGACTTATCTCTCTTGCAGGACTGTAACCTCCAGTAAGATTCACTTTATATAATAATTGTATTAATACTCACATGCTCTGGGTTGTAACCTCCCAGGAGAGCAAGGACCATAATCATGGACCTTATAGTAGGTGCTAAATAAATATTCCATGCACACACAGGAATGGCTCCACAAAAAAGCCATAACTGGACAGACATACTGTTTCCACCCCCGCAGTTTGCATGGCTGGTCCAACCCGAGGGAGCTGGCCTCACAGTGAACTGGGCTATCTGCCAAAAGGCTGAGCAGAAGAAGCATCTCCAACAGGCATTGGGAATACCTGTTTTGCGTTTCCCACATCAAGAACAGTGGTTTGATGAGCCCGCCCAGGGGAGCCGCCAGCCTGGGTTCACAGCTGAGAGGGCAAGTCAGCTCAGTAGCAAACCCTAATTTATAAAGTGCTGCTTCCCCCCCCCCAAACTCAGAGGAACAGAGTTGAACACTGGTTACCAAAGACTGGGGAAGGGGAATGGAAAGATGCCTGTCAAAGGGTACCAACTTCCAGTTACAAGGTTAGCAAGTTCTGTGCATCTAATGGACAACATGGAGATTATAGCTAATGATACTATATTGTGTCCTTGAAAGTCCTAAGAAAGTAGGTTTTAAATGTTCTCAGGGCCAGAAAGACGTGGTAACTATGAGATAGGACGGAGGGGGTCACTAACAGCATGGCGACCATCACATTGCAGTATACAAATGGGTCAAATCAACATGGCGCACACCTTGAACTTACACAATGTTGGATGTCAATTACAGCTCAACCAAGCTGGAAAAAAAATCCTTTTAAGAATGGAATGTCCCGACTTTTCGGCGTTATCCCAAGCTATTCCCTTGTTTCTAACCAGAAGTACTTAACGGCTGCTGCTTGGAAGCAGGCATCCCGTTGATTCAGACCATAATTTGCACAGAGAAAGTTCTAACACACCTACAGTGATACATTCTTGAGAAGTTAAAGATACCCCTTCAAGGGTTCCTTGCTATTTATACACTCAGATTAATAAAGCTCTTAAGTCTAGAAAATCTTTAGCGTAAGACATGTGTGAATTAATCAAAACAGGTGGGCTATGAACAAATGATCCATTCCTCCGATATCACATTCCAGCATCTCATTCCTTTGGCAATGATACATCTCTTTGTTTAAAAATAGTATTTTACAATAAATATAAACACATCATTGTCAATACGAAAAAATCACCCCAGATCTCACCCCCTTAATATAACCAGGAAAAAGCATTTTTGCCCATTTTCTTCTTAGTTTTCAGGCTATGAATCTTAAAACAAGCAAACCAAAACCCAGAGCTTTAACATAAAATGATGTATCCTCCCTTTAAAAACAGCTTTCCACACTGCTGTGTACGTTCCACACGCATTCAGCATGATATGCTCACTGACCACAGAACATTCCTATAGCTCTTCCACTTTGCTAACCCATTTCCCCACTAAGGATTTTTTCCTTGGTCATAACTGTCTTCTTGGTAATACAGAAGACTGCAGAAAGCACTTTTGAGTACAACTTTTGTGTGATGACATGTTGTAAGCTTCCGATAATCACAGGCTGGAGCCCTCTGGTCAGAGAGAAAATTGAAAATGTGACTTCTGACCCAGCCTCTAGAATTTAATCGAGATGAGGTTATTTGAAGTCTTTCTAAACACAAAGATGTTCTCAGGAACGCAATATTCATGATTAGGAGTAAGAGACGCCCTCTGGAGCATCCTGATTAGGGCCTTTTTAACATTTCTTACCAGCTCATCTCTTTTCTACCAAAGGGAAAAAGAAAGGATTGCAAATCTGAGCTGGTCCTTTCTTGGGGTAGGGGAGGGCATTTCGGGGCATTTCCGGGAGGCTCTGCACTGCTGAACCTTCTGTCCAGGATGTCACTGGTGTCCTCCCTGCCCAGGGGCGTGTAAAGAACAGGGAGATTACTGAGAAGCTGGTTATACCCAGGCCAATCTGCACTAACTGGGCGCCCTGATCCCTCCAAGACAGGTCCCTTGAAGGGCTGGCTCCTCGCCCCCACCAGCGGTTTACAGTCCAGGCCTGGAGCTGGACTTTTCCCAAAGCCACCGTATAAACAGGAGTCTCCTTCCGAGACCCGACCTAGCCAGCCACAGGGGTTCCAAACAGGGGCACTTCCGGTCCTCCGGAAAACAAACTCCTCCCCCCACCCTTGGCCCTTTTGTTTAGGCCCACAAGGGCAAAGGTACGGACACCCTCACACACATGTGTACACAGACACACACACAGATATACACGGACACCCACAGATACACACAGACACTCAGACACTCACACACAGACATGCACACACACTCACACACACTGTGCAAGCAGACAGAAGTTAAAACAACAACTCACGTGTTCCCGAGGCCTGATCACCTCCAGGAAGCCTGGCAGCCTGTCATCACCGGGTCCTGCAGGACCCCCACCTCTCTCCCCTTTCTCCCTCCTCTGGCCCCTGGCAAGGTTTGCTTCCCCCGCCCCGCCCACAGGCAGGCAAGCAGGGGATGGTGGCTCGGGTGGGGACAGACTGAGGTTCTGCTCCAACAGAAAACAGGTAAGAGACAGCCCCGCCCCTGCCCCCGGGTCAGGTCTCCTCCTCCTGTCCCCAGAGGCTCCCAGGACAAAGTCCACCACGGTCATGCGTCACCTGGGACAGGGCAGGGCGGGAGGCTGGATGGTGAAGCCGACCTGTGAAAGCACCTGGGAGCCCGCGGGAAGCCAGACTCCCATCGGGGTGTGGGGGGTCACCCACCTCCAGGGAGTGTCTCAGCTCTGATATCCGTCTCTCACTTCAAAGCTGAGGGTCTCCGTCTCCCCTTGGCTCCTTCCTGGGAGCAGCGCGGATCTTTGTTGCCCTCCAAGCCTGGAAGGAAAGGATGTATTTTGGTCAAATGAAGTTATTCCTGCCCCCAAAGAGCTGGGAGACGGCTCTTGTGGGTCCCGGCACCCCGGGGCCAGAGGCAAGCCAGGCAAGCCGGTCCTGGGCTCAGACGCCTGCATCCTGGCTGGACGCCACAGCGGGGGAGGCTCTGTGTTTCTCTAACGCCCCCTCCCAGGTTTGTCACCCTTCAACCTGACTGTTCCTCCCAGGGATGGGAAGATCGGGCCGCAGGACAGACGGAGGGCGACTCTGGTCCTACTGACCTCCAGGGTTTCCTCCCTCCCTATCCCTTGCTGGGGCATTGCATGGGGCATGTGCAGGGAGGGGCCCTGGGCTCGCTTCCTGCTGGGGTGCCCTCCCACGACCCCTTCAGGACCAGCTCCTCTCTGCTGCGCCCATACCACCTCGGGGGGCCGGGGGTGGCTCCCCCCTCCTCCGCACATTCCCTCCAGGGTGTGGCCACCTCCCTGAGGGCCATCAGCAAGCTTGGCTGGGCCCTGCCACTTGGGAAGCTCAGGAACACTACCCCCTCGTGAATGCCCTCCTTAGCCCCCAACCTGAGACCCGCAACCAAAGGTCTGGGTGACGATGTGTTTCTCGGCCTATAAGCCATAGATGGAGGGTCCAATTCCGAATTCCCATGAAGTGGCCACCTTCCTGCAGGTTGGGGGAAGGGGGCCCAGAAGGAGAGGGAGATGCCAGTTTCTCGGCAGGAAGGCAGAGACGAGATAGTTAATAACCAGCATCTGACCCAAAGCGGGAGATTTGCACCTGTGGTCAGACAATGGATTTGAAAGCCAGACCTCGTCCAGAGGAGAGATTTCTGGAGACCGTTCAGCTCCCATGTGACTCTCCAGCTGCACCGAGATTGTGTTACCGAGGGTCCCACCCGGAGGCTCAGGCCCAGTCTTCATCCCTCCCTGGCTGTGGAACAGAGGAGGATCATGAGCATGTTTGCTGTCTCTCCGTTTCTTCTCCTGGCTCCGTGGGCCAGGAGCGGGGGCACAGCTTCCTGGGTCCTCTGCCGAGGGTCTCACAGGGTGCGGCCAGGCCCTTGGGAGGCCAAGGTCCTTTCTGAACTGGTCGTTTGCAGAATTCAGCTCCCTGCTGTTGTAGGAGTGAGGTCCCATGGCTGTCTCCCGGGGTCACTCACAGTTCTTACAGCCCACCTCCTGGTCCTTGTCACATGGCCGCTCACTGACCCTCCCACACGGACCAGCCTGTTCTTCAAAGCCAGCAAGAGGGTCTGTCGACTTTCAGACCCTCTTTTAAAGGGCTTGCCTGATTATGTGAGGCCCACCAGGCACCTCTCCCTTTTCATTAACTCAAAGTCAACCACTAAGGGGACTTAATTACATCTGCAAACCCCACTTCACCTTTGCCATATTACAACAACATAACTCAGGAGTGATGACCATTGTATGTACAGCCTTGGGCACCCTCAGGGAGAGGGGATCCCAGCAGGTGTGGACACCATGGGCCAGCCATCTTGAGGGACACATTAGAATCCTGCTTACCCTAGTGTGAGCTAAAGCCCACACCCTGCCCAGCTGACCCAGAGGGAAAGCTCCCCATCAGCACACTGCTGTTGGGTGGTGGGGAGCCACCTGCTGGTCCTCGGATTCAGGCCAACCCCAAACAACCTGACCCTTTCCCAACTTACAAGGCCCAGGGGCACCATGAGCGACTAGGACCTAGCTCCTCGTGAGGTCTGGAGGCTCATCCCTTCTCTGGTCTCAGTGTTAGCCTAAAACATGCTTCGCCTGACTGGGTCTTGTCCCTCCCACGGGAGCTCCGCAGTTACTACCCTCCACACCTGCTCCCCAAGAAGGTCCCAAATGTGTCGTTCATCTCTGTAAGACAATCTCACCACAAAGAGACATCCACCAAGAGAGAGAAACCTGTGCACTTACGTTTAAATCTAAAGACACAGGGCACCTGGGTGGCACAGCCAGTGAAGCATCTGCCTTCAGCTCAGGTCATGATCCTGGGACCTGAGATCGGGCTCCTGATCCGGAGGGAGGGTTCTGGGATCAGGCTCCCTGCTCAACGGGGAGCCTGCTTCTCCCTTTCCCTCTGCCCCTCCCCCCTTGCTCATGCTCTCTCTCGCTCTCAAAGAAATAAACACAATTTTTAAATCGACCAGTCAGTCTGAAGATGCATTCCCCCGTGGACACAGTCAGACTCCAGCACCAAGAAAATCCCGGACAGGGAGGCTCAACACTTAGAGCGCGTTCTGCCCCATAACCCTAATTGCCACTGCTTGTCGTGCAAACTAGGCAAAAATAGGACACAAGCAAGTCACTTAAGTGACCACCGCTTACATCCTCCTGAAAGAGCTGCGCCAACTTTCTAGCTTTCGCTCTTGGCGTTTCACTCACTTCCCTGTCTTGGCAGCAACAAGACGCCACTTGGCTCTGGCCCTTCAGCAGCCCACGTATAGGAGCACGCCCGGTCACGGGCACAGACCTCCCCTGTGGAAAGAAAGCCCAAATCCTGGAGTTCTGAAGCCAGAAGCCCCCTGGGGATTCTCCGATCCGAGCACCCCAGCAGCACCCCAGCCGACGGATTATTCAGTCTCCGCTCCACATCTCCAGGGCCGGGGGCTCTTCTGCTCCCTGAGCCCCCTCCCTACCCCCACCGCCTGCGACTCTTTCCCATGCACACCCACCTTCCGTAACTTTCCACCCATTTGCCTCCCTGACATCACATGGCCAACACCTGAGCCGCTGCCACAGAAACATTTTTGAGATTTTTCACGCGGTCATCAAGGCACGTAGTGGACACTGCCAGTGACCTGCCTGGACCCCACGGCCCCCCGGCTCCTGGCACAGAGGCCACCGGTGTGGCCAGGAGGGTAATACAGCCCCGTCCCAGGAGACGTGCCCTGTGGGCCTGTCTGGGGATCTGTGGGGGAAGGGGTGCTTCCCAGTCCTCCTTGGGCTTCCTTACAGAGCTGGAGTTAAGGATCAGACTCAGTGTGATGGATGGCTGTGGGACAGATCTTCCAGAATGTTCTTATCTCCTAGGGCCTTTGAGATAAGCAGAGAGGGTCACCTGCCTTGCCTCAAAACCTTCACCCCTGCTTATCTCAATGGAAAATTCCAGCAGGGATTTCTGAACACCAGTTAAATTCCTCAGCTCAGCAATCAGGCCGGCGCTTGGCTGCCTGACAGGCTGGGCAGAGGAGACCAAGCAAAGTCCGGCCCCGGGGCGTCCAGGACCCACAGGCCAGCACAGGGACCTGTGCAGGGAGAGGCGACCACCTCAGCTTCGGACCAGGCCTCACAGTCCCGTGGGAGCAGGCAGAGGAGATCGGCCCACCTGACCAGGTGGGAGGGCAAGGGGCAAGGCAGACTCCTTCAGGGAGGAAACATCTGACACACCGAAGACGGACCAGAAACTTCCCTAATGACCCACAGGAGGAGGGCTTTCTGAAGGGAAGTGGCTGAGCACAGTGAGAGGAGTGAGGCCACAGGGGACGCCGTCCAAGCGCCCAGAGTCTGCGGTGGGCGCCTAGAGGTTTAAGGATGGAGGGGTCTTGCCCAGTTCCTAACGACTGGAACCATAACAAAAATAAAGTAGCACCTTTTACTGTACACTTACTATGTGCCAGGCATTGTGCTGACCCTTGACTTGGGGTTCTGATTTCATGGTCACCCTCATGGCAAACCCATCCTGGGAGCCACACCCAGAAGGCCGTTCCACGGGCCCTTCCCCCACCGTGCCCATTCTTGGGGGTAAGAAGGTCATAGGGCCCCCCCCCCACTTGTAAGGCACAGTCCCAAATCCAGAGATGAAGAATTCCTCACCCAAGTAACCCCACCACCCTCCTGCAGGGCCCACATGGGCCTCTGTGCTGGGTCTACTCTACTCCAGCACAGAAGGCCACCAGGGTGAGCACCCAGGCTCCTCGTGCCCAAGAGACCAGTGGTGGGGAGTATGGGGGGAGCACATCAACCCCTCTCTGTGAGAGACAGACACAGTTCGGGAGCAAAGGAGGCCAGTGGGGCTGGGCCGTCATGTCCTGGCAAGCGCTCCCGGGACCCCTTGGGTTCTAAGTGCAAACCTCGGCTTCTGGATTCTTTTGAAGGTATACCGGTCAAAGGAGGAGGGTGGGACATATTTAATTCAGCAACGTATGTGCTTGGCTTCATTTGTAACTTTTAAATACTTAGATGGGTGGTATATGGACTACGTTTTGTATGCCTGCCCCAGTCCCTGCAAATATTAGGGGCAGGCCTGATGGTTTTATACCACTTTACAATTGAGGAAATAAGTCCAGAAAGGGAGAGCTGGCCCAGAGAAGAACAGCAAGTGGACAAGTCCCACAGTCAGTGGGAAAGAGAGAGGAGGAGCTAAGCAGAACTGGCCGTGAGCCCGCCCCGCACCCCTCCCTCCCCTGCCTCAGAGGTTTGGTGGGAGGTAGTCGCCATCCCCTGGCCCCGGGCACAGAGAGCTAACCTTCTTAACAAAGGCTTGGGTCTGCTCCCACCCCTACCTCGCCCATTCCTCACCCTCACCCCTGCCTTAGCCAGTCTTCCTTCCTGTAGGGCGCTCCCACCAGCATGTAGACGGACTCTCCCCTGCACTGTGTCCCCCTTAG